CTCTTTCTATTTATCTCCATCTCTCGCTATGTCGCCCCCCATCTCCCCCTCTCTCTCCCCCTCTCTCTCTTGCTCTCCCGCGAGCTTACGGGGACAGCAGCAGCGTGTACATGCACTTAGCAGCGCCGACACCACCAGGGTCGTTCCGCTATCAATGACATCAATGACTGCATGAATGTCGCCTCACGGATAATTGCATTTGCCGCGGCCGGGCATTCCTCATGCAAATTGCCATCGATACCCCGCCAGAAGTTAATGTCCCCGGTCAACGTTCGGGCGCGAGTGGGCGGCTGGCTGGCTGGCTGGCTGGCTGGCTGGCTGGCTCGCTGGCTGGCTGGCTGGCTGGCTGGCTGGCTGGCTCGCTGGCTGGCTGGCTGACCGCGGGCAGTATTACAGCCTTCCTAATCGGAACAGCTTCGGTCAAACGCTCGGGGATTCGTTAGGGTGTGTGCATGGATAATCAGCTGCACGCATTCGTGCTGCATGCAGGCGAAACCCCCACGAGGTGTAACATCATCAGTAAAACATACCTGCGCTAATGACGCTTAGCATACCTGCACGACACTTTGGGGAAATTTTGATTAAAACGTGAAGTGCAGTGAAATGGGAAAGTATGTGTACATTTCACTATTTAAAAAAAACAGCATTCTACCTTGACATGTACAGTCAATTAAATTTAAAATTATGATGGGTATCCAAATTATGATGGTATCATTTAAATCTGCGCAGATTTATAACCTACACTGGTACTCCCATGTCCAAGTAACTCTGCCAATGTGCTGTTTGTTATCTAACTAATTTCTAATATGTGGCAAGGTGTAAGTTGACACGTACTAATGGACCACTATCCTAGTCAGGAAATTCTTAATGGAGTGATAAACTTCACCAGTTACCATGTCCAAGTGTTTGCTATAGCTGGTTAGGAAGGTCTGTTCTTACAGTGACATTGGAGTGACAGTACACCTTGGTACATGTACATAAGAAACGGATACATATCTACACACACACACACGCACGCACGCACGCGCACGCGCACGCGCATGCACACGCACACACACAAACAACACCCGTGCGCGCTACAATAATCATTTACCCTAGGCTCCTAGCTGCGACTCGAGGAGTGGTGGCACCAGTCTCCGCCCGACACTGATCGATAGCTATCAATTTTTAATGCATTTTTATTCTCGTCACCCTTGATTCGAATCCGCATCCTGCAAGCTCATTCGCAGCAGAGTATGGCTTCACCTCGAGCGTACGATCGCCGTTCGCTCGCTCGCTCCGCGTCTCGATCAATTACAAGTCAGCGATGAATTTACAATGCCGGCAGCCCTAATTGAAGGAAACACGCATACATGTAGCAGATGCATATATAAATACTTCATGGATCGCCCGCCGGATAAACATTGTTTGCTCTCACATCTGCGAAATCCCGTGCTTGTCACCGCGTCGGACCAGTAGATTAGAGGCCGTGTCACTCAGACGACGAATATTGATGACAATTCATTACCTCGGGCAAAAGCCAAGACCTTTTCAATCAGCTGCATTTCACCTGACATATAGTTTGACAAGACCGAGGTTGATTGTTCGTTTTCACGCGGTATGGTCGATACGGTATTATCGTGGCCTCTTTACAACAGATCTAGTAACTAGAAAATACAACTGAAAAGTGTGCATGTGCAGCAAGTGACCGAGGCTCCAGTATCTATAACCTTGATTATATTACCATGCAGTGAAGGCAGTTCAAGGATAGAGATGATGTCCAGGACGGTGATTGGATAGGATGATGTTTGTTACTGGACATGCTCTCTATCATTGAGCTGTGAAGGCTACATTGATTAGAGCCAGTAAGGAAGAGCGTTGGTGATGATATGTTACATAACATGACATATAGAAGACTAGTGAAGTGTACACATCACATAATTAATAGATAAAGCAGTGGTTAACGAGACTGTAGGCCCGGAGGTCCTGCTACGATGCTGGGTGAACACAGAACTTCATTTCACATGCGTAGAGTACCTCCATTTTAGTGCCAATTAAAAAAATTCCTGCACTAATTACTAGTACTACCTAGCACTTGCACTATAACGTCCATGCTTCGGATATAATGAGATAGAGTTTGCCATTATCCAACTGAGAGATTCTTGTGTCATTAATGATGACTGAAGAATGTAGTGAGAGTTGTTATTGTTAACTTAGGCTGTACAACTTAGGCTGACCAAGTTCTCGCTTCGTTCTAGGTATCTGTTCTGAGTTATGATACGAATTGAGGACAGATCGTTGGGATGCCTGAGACGGAGAAGACCTTTCTTATTATGTCCCTAACGCTTGATAAGGTAAGAAAAGTTAATAAATATGTACCTTTTTGAAGTAAACACAGAAGGTGGCGTCGACAGTAGATATTTCTCTTGCTGTTTATCAGCTGCCACGAGAAAATATCTTCGCATCGTGGCGCCATCTTCCGTTGCGAATTGTTACATAATGAGTGATGTGGTGGGCTTAGTAATAACATAATATTTGCTTTTTATCTTGCACACAGTAGGTAAATATTACTTTATTAATGCATATATTAATTATTACTCAGTGAAAAAAATCACGCAACTTCTCGCTAACCGTAGACTTGGATGTTACTGTATTTGTGAAAAATATTCCTGCTCTGCACCTCCCGTTGAACTTTTTGGTACGACCCATGTCACGTGATTATCAGCGCTGCCGCAGCGAGACTCGCGCTCGAGCTGAAGGCTAGTGTTCAGCCTCAGCTTATAGTTTCGTGAAGCATATACCTACGATTCAGAAATTCGAATCGATGTTGTCTCCGTTCTGTGTAGGAAATATGGCTCCTACTCTATGACAGGTGCAAATACGCGCGACCTTGACGATAGTGTGTTCATACTGCGATGCGCAACGTTGTGCCTATAGCGCCTGTTTTACAGTTTCGCTCCCGATCACACTCACAGCGCTACCTCAGTACCTGTACCTTGTTACAAGATACCCGTTATTTATCGCCCCAACTTTAATACGTGCTCCAGATTCTTACGCGTGGTGGTGCAGGGGCCATAGTGCTGATAACGTGCCCATCTCGGCTCGGTGTATATACCCGGATGGTCTCGCTCGATGGGCGTACCCTAGTGTTTGGTGTACCTGAGCTACTCGGTGGCTGTCAGTGTTCTGCTGCGTGTGAGTTTTACGGAGATTCGTGCTGCGTGGTTTTCAGCTGCTGGGAGTAGATGGAGTGCGAGCACCGATATCACCGGAGTCGGCGACAGACTGGATGGACGAGTGCAGCTCTTCTAGTGACGTTCTCGATGACGCCCTACTGAGACTCGTCAACCAGTGAGTGACACACGCACGCACGCACGCACGCAGGCACAGACACGTACGCGCACGCGCGCTCACACACGCACGCACGCACGCACACACACACACACGCACGCGCGCGCACGCACACGCACGCACGCGCACACGTACACACACACGCACACGCGCGCGTACACACGCACGCACACACACACGCACGCACGCACGCACGCACAAACACACACACGCGCGCGCACACACGCACACATAAACACGAAATGTCATTTGCATCAACATGCTTTTGCCAGCACTTTCCGTCATAATCCGCCATCTAACTAGCCGTGGTAAAGTCTCGGTCACTACTATAGCTAGCCCTAGAATACTATAGTGTACTGCCAGGGCAACTGCACTATATATCGCATATACATTGCCCTGTTTATCCTAGCATCTCATTGTATTTGCGCCTCACGTACGGATCGTACTGCACGTTGCATACATTTTTTTGTTCTCCGCGCTGCGCCGTATTCACCAGCGTAAGTTAATACGATCGAAATAGATTCTCGCAGGGGAAAAAATCACGAAGGAAGGTCATCGTTATTAGTTCTCGTGCGGATTTGATCCGTCCCCGCATGCAAGAGCGCGTTAATCCCTTTTCATAAAGTGTCATTCGGCACCAGAAATTAACACGGGCTATATGTAAATTGTAATACGCGCTCACTTACGGCTGCTCTATTCAGCGCGACGAGAGAGACAGCGCAAGCATTGATCCGCGAGCTTAGCTTCTTATCAGATTTCTCTTCATACGCTCGGTGCTCTCCGGTGTACGACACAAAGGCGTTCATAGTTCACGCGACGATAAATTGGTCCTCGCTATTTCCGCGCGATGTCGTTCATGCGGTTCTCACCCTGCGACCCCCCACCCACACACACACACACACACGCACGCACACACGCATGCACACGCGCGTACACACACACACACACACACACACACACACACACGCACGCACACACACACACACACACACACACACACACAACACACACACACACACACACACATCAGTCATGTCGTGAGGACAGGTGGGGTTAGTGAACGACAAGCCGGGGTTGGTAGCAATGTGGCCGCAGGGGCTGGTGGGATGACGCTGTCAGGTCTGGCAGATCAGGTAAGAGGGTAAGTTAAGGTAAAAGGCTAGTTAGGAAGCGAGCAGTGGCTTATAGACGTGCTAAACAATGTAGCGAGCACAAGAGCACGAGATAGAGAAATCATGCACGCGCGATAGAGAGGGGGAGAAAGAGAGAGAGAGAGAGAGAGAGAGAGAGAGAGAGAGAGAGAGAGA